CAAAACACTTGAAAGAACTGTTACGATAAATAATAATAATTCATTAACATGGTTTGATCGATTAGCTACTGAAATTATTTTCGATATATTTAATTATTTAACATGGAATGATACTATTTATATATTCTTTTATTTTAATCAACAATTCAATTCTATATTATTGCAACATCAACGTTTTTTAAATAAGTTTGAATCACCAAAAATGCATTTAAATTGTTGGGAAAATATTTTACTGATTATTGGATCACACTTACAATGTTTAATTATTAATACCATTGACTTTTCTTTCTCATTAAATCTATTTCCAAATCTAAAGCACACCATTATTTATTCTTCATTTCTCATCGATTGTGAACAATTATGTTTTATCTTGGAAAGCGAACAATTTAATATACTAAATTCATTTAAAATAAAAAGTGAAATTTTATCTAAAAAAAATCATCTTTTTAATATTCTGGAGAACTCGAAGAAACTTTATTCAGAAAAATATTTAGTAATGAAAGTTCTTTGAAAACATTTCAATGTTTGTCAGAATTAAAGTTACATAATTTAGAAAAAAATTGACAATTTAATAGTCAACAAAAATATTCATTCATTATCATTGAAATCAACAAATCTCACAGCTGTATTTCCTCTTTTTAAATATACACAGAGTTTGAAATATTTTAATTTTATTGTAATGAGATCTTTATTTAGGTGACAAATTATATAAAGAACTAGATTTATCTTCGATTAAATTTTAAAAAATTTATTTAACATTTCAACGAACGGGAGTATATAATGAGATTAATGAAGAGCATTTTCTTTTATTAACAAATCTTATAAAACAATTTTCATCGTCATTTATTTATTTATTAATGAATGTAACTCAAATAGTAAATGTTATTTCAAAAACTCAATTCCAATTCAATGGTATTAAACTTCAACAACAATTATTATAATCAATGACACAATTAAAACAATTTCATCTTTACGCAAGACTAACTCAACATCAAATAGATATTGAAAATATACTATCAACATTTGAAACTCAATTTTGATTTGATCATAAGGATGTGGGTGTGTGTGTATCTACTTAGTAACACACTCACTACATACCCACATCCTTCCATGTTTCCGAAATTTTTGGTGTTTTCCTGCCGGAATTGACCCGTATTTCTTGACTTGGGCTCATCGAAAAGTGTATTTCAAGCGACTTTGTTGAAAATAGACGGATTTGGTAAGATGTACCCATTGAGTTTTTAATTGTCATTCTTACGCCAGAACTGTCAATATAAGATTCACAATATCACCTAAAGCTTAGATATTCAGATTTAATTAGTCAAGATTTATGGGCATTCTAATCGAAACTCAAAGCCACTATTTCTTGCGGTGTATGTTAAAAACGAAATCCATTTTTGTACTCTTTTCTTTTGGTACAAAAAAAAAACGTTTTTTCATCATGTTTGTCAGAAAACAGATAAAAAAGAGTCGCAGAAAATATGATAGAAAAACCTATAACATATGATTTGGTGCATTTTCATTTTCTCATTCCAATAGGAAAAACCGCAGCTCTCAACCTTTTCTCTGTCAAAAGTTATGCAAAAGATAATCAGATACCTGTTTTGTTTTTGAAATGAGCATTGATGTTATTGTCGCATGTCATAACAAGCAGCTTTTATCGAGATTTATTTACTATGATATAAAACGTCCTATACGCTAATAAAGTTTCGCTCCCACTATTTTTGGATTGCCCTAATTAGCTTAGTTCATTCAAAGATCCGTTTTGTATACAAACGAACTCCATATTACAGACCTTCTATGAAAATGAGCTAAAGATACTCTTTGATATTAAATATCGAATGTGTTGAATAATGCTTTGAAAATTAACTTTTGCATATTGTGAAAAAGACTAAGATAAACTCATAGTTTAAAAAAATTTCTAACGTAAGTATTATCAAATGAAAAGTAATGGCGACAAAGTTTTATACAGTTAAAATTAATCCAAAGTAATTGTGTTGCTGTCTCAGGTCGATTGATAAATAGTGGAAGATAAACTAGAAACTAAAACCTTTTTTTCTATAAGAAATATTATTATTAGAGAGAAATATGTGAATACATTCGAAAAGTATTAGTTCAATAAGAAAAAATGTCAATCGATTCTCAACTTCAATCTTTTTCTTGTTGTTTTGTTGTTATACTCACTTATATGTGTGGTAAGAAGCGACGTGTTTTTAACCGACTTTTTCTGTATTTTTTTTTCTTCCACTCATTTAGTTTTCACTTATTGCGCAATTCGCTTGTAATATTGACAATCCGTTTTTTTTATTCTTAATCATATAGGGTGTGGATGTGATTATGGGTGTAGAAGCATGGCGAATATGACTTAATTAAAATTAGCTGCGAAATTTCAAAATCAAAATTACGATGATCCGGTGGTTTTTTCAGCACAGAATAATGTCGAATGATTAGAATGATTTGATTCGACAAAGAATGCTCGGCAACTAACTCTACAGTTTAAGTTTGATTGCAAAAAAACAAATTGTTATTCTTTTTCTTTGTTTTATCTATCATATTCCTATAATGTGGCAACTTGCTCTTTGATGATGTGATGATCTCAATTGACTCATATGAGCAATGTCATAGTATCGCTATTAAAGACTTGCTGATTCATCTTCACGTCCAGTGACTATGGACTGTATGTTGCGCTTTGCGAGTAAAAGAATATAATTGGCTGCCAACAAAGCACTCGATTCTTCTATTGCTTATGAGACTGTTTCTGCGCAAATGAACACATTTATAATCAAATATATCGTCTGTAAGCACATCTGTTTTGCATGCAAAAGTCGAAAAGAAACAATGTGAGTCAATCGATTTCTGATTGTTCCACGTGCGTGACACAAATGATGAAATAAACATATTTTACTTCTTTTAATGAATAATGAGGTGATTCAACAAGAGGATTCGGGTGTCGGCCTGTGCGTGGATCAGTACGAGTGTTGACGTGAGCGTGAATGGGTGTGGGAGAGTGGGGTGTGTGTGTTGATATGTAATCAAGAGCAAACCATGAAACAACTACTAAAGCGCCTCTGTTCAAACAGCATTGCTCTCAGTGCGAGATGGGTTTAATACTAACACTTTCTTCAAGAAACAGAACGCGTGGTTTATTCAGAAGCATGCGTTCGAACGCACTTCAACACTTCAATCCCTTATAAAGAATGCTATCTTAGTTGATAAAATACATTTTTACTCGTTCCTTGTTATGGTTTTTTTCATGGGTGACTCTCGCAGTTCACATATATACTCAGCATATATATATATCGCACTGTCTGAAAACTGGTGACATACAAAAGTACTTTCGTCAATAAACCTGAAATTTCGCCTCCTGGTGAAATTCGGGAATCGCTGAAATTACACTCTTAGCGTAAAAGTCATTCGGTGACTTCTCCTCTTTCTTTCTTGGGTGATTTACTCGTTAACAGTTAACACTCAAGTCTCAGGATTATTCTGCATACATAAATGCCATTCAGCCGCTGAATATTGGGGCTGCAAATAGAGTGAGTTATTTTTTATTGAGAGACAAAATGGTAAAGCTTCAAGTGTGGGTGTGGATACAGATGTGCACCGACATCCACATCCACATCCACACACCGACACTCGCACCCACACCCACACCCACACCCACCCTAGCAGAAAATATCGTGTTGTTCTATTGTATTACTATCATACGACGAAAAAAAGTCCATCTTGGAGATAACGTCTTCTTTTGATAACATGCACAAAGTCTTTGAAAAAAAGCGATGAGATGATAACAAAGAATAGCGTCGAATCATTTTCTTTATCCTTACAGTTCTTTCACCAAACAAAAAAAGAAGACTCTATCGTTTTCTGTTGGATAACAACTTCTCTACTTGTGGGAGCTACATTAAGCAGTGAAAATGTCCAGAAAACGGCGAGACTGTTCTACCATGACCTATTAGCTAACAAGATCTAATATATATTATACTACAAGAGACTTGCTTGGAAACAGTCTCTGTCTTTTGTGACAAACAACATCAACATTGGGATACAGATAAGTCTCTGTAAAAGAGAAAAAATATAGAAATGCATGAAATAACTTCGTGATAGACGAGTGTTCAAGTAGTTCAATGGACAGAGCAGTCGATCAGTTCGGTTGGACAATACGAGCTCGATTACCAACCTACATCAATGATCCTTGTCGATTAGTCTTTATACTTTATCGTTGAGTGTCTTAGAACTCGGTCTGAAAATAAAGTAAATCTTAATTTTTTTAAAATATGAAAAATTGAGTTCCCTACAAAAAGATCCCGCAGAAATATGTTTTCACAGCTTTTTCTGTGCTTTTTGTAAGTGACTAAAAGTGAACATGTACAAATTATTGCTATTTTCCACTACGCAAACTGGGAAAATTCTCAAAAATTGAACATTGATTAGAAAAAATATGGTAGATAGTTCTGCAACACATCACTGGATATAACATACGAATCGCACACGTGATTCTTCCAGAAAATTTGAAGCTTAATTCTGACAGTGATAAGTCAAAGTATTGCTCGACACACATTTTAATAGAAACTGTTTCAGCTATCTACTTATGCAAATAAAATTAGTTATTATTGATGCAAAATTTGGAAAACTGAAAAAGATTTACCAAAATATTTGCACAATTTGTAGGGTAAGAAATATGTTTAACTTGTTCTCGAAGACTGACGTGATGAAGCCAGATCTGCTTCCCCAAGTGTTATGTTCTCTTCATCACAATTTATTCAAAGAAATATGAACTCTATTCAATTTGGAAATGGATAATTATTTATCTCATTGAATAAAAATTATCGTAATAGCAGCTAGATACGCAGGAGTACTGCTACTCTTTTAGGACTATGGCCATAATTGGTTATCTATCAACGCATGATATAGATTAATGTGCTACATTAATGACTTCAAAGTTAGGAAAATAGACTAATATTTTTTTTGTGTTCTGTTTTAGAAAGATGAAGTTCATCATGTTACATACATTGATTCTATTATTGTCAACAACAATAACATCAGTTTCAATGTTATCCTGTTGTGATTGTCCACTAAAACATTATGATTTTCTGATAACACCGGATAATATTCCCATATTTACTAGTTGTACAACAACTAATACAACGGGAAAGTTTTGCTCACTGAATATTTATTCGGATGACAATGGAAAAACAAGTAAGTTGAGAGCAAATCCAAACACCGGTATCGAACGTGCAAATGTTTCTTATATTTCAACCGGATTTGATGTCCCTAATAGCTTTGATGAAACTATGGCCTTCGGCATTTTGTATCAGTGTATGACAGATAATTGCAATAATCCACAAATGATATTAAAACGAATACTTCAAGCATCAAAAATTGAAACATACAAACCTCCTCAATCACAATTGACAGTTGATCAATCCGCATCAAGTTCAACTCTTGTGTGTTCAATATTTTCAAACTTTACAAGCATCGATGAATGTCGCCCACCATTTCATGTTCGCGAATCACCAAATTTTGATGAGACGTGTCCAACATATTGTGTAACAGCAATCAGAATTGATCCAGTAGATTTAAAAACAGAAAGAATGTGCTCATATTGCGAGCAAAAAACGACAGAACGCTTTTTATACATTGATGAAAGAATACATTTATTAGACAAACGTATTAGTTATTTACAACAATTAGATTATGTTTGTAACACAAGCAACAATTGTAATTCATTGGACAATATAAGACAAATACAACAAAGATACAAAATAGAATTTGATTTTGATATATTTTTTGATTCCAATGGTACAACGACGATGACCCAAACTACAAGTGACATGACAATAATCACCACAGCCACAACTGGTACAACGATGACCACCACAGCCACAACTGGTACAACGATGACCACCACAGCCACAACTGGTACAACGATGACCACCACAGCCACAACTGGTACAACGATGACCACCACAACCAGAAATGGTATGACGATGATCACTATGGCCGGCAGTTTACAACTAATCACCTATTTCTTTTTAATTTTCCTATTTTTTCTTGAATAATAAGCACTAACAGTCACGAATGTGGCATAATAAATCTGAAATAGCCTTCCTGACTTCACTTCTATCTCTCACAGTCACAAATGAGGAAAAGCATGTCTACACATGTTGCACGAGGTTGTCGATATGGACGAGGGTATGACTGAGGGTGGGGTGTGGAGTGTCGGTCTTTTCTTCACTGGCATACACCACATGCCGATATCCACACCCATGCCCACAGTCATTTTTGCATCAATTTCTATGATGAAATTAAGAAATATCACAATAATTATTATTGAGAAATAATATATTTTAAAATGTATAAATATTTTCTACACCACTGATATTTAGTCTTATTTATATTACTTTCACTAGGGTGTGTGTGTAGGTCAATGCTACATCTACACTCACAATCACACCCATTCTCCGATATTCAATTCGGCTTAAACTTCGTATTTTTACAAATTTCTCATTAAAATGTTTAACTAATGCTACAACGTCACTTGTTGGATCATCGGGTAGTGGAAAAGCGACAGCCATTTCATTATCACAACGAGTCTACGATCCATTGCAAGTCAAAATTTTACTCGATGGTCATGATATAAAAGCTGATAGCTAATCAGACTCATGTTAACAATAACACAAAAAAAATGACACTTGTACTTCCTGGTTAATATAGGTCAAAAAAAGTGAGCTCCACACATAAACTCCAAATTTGGAGCTCACTTACGCATCCATATTTTACCCGTTCATACCAGTCCATGCTATATAGCCGATACCATCAATGTCCTATCATCAACCCCAGTCATAGGCTATCAGCATATGTAACCCTAAATTAGTTTATTAATTAGTTCTCACCTTAATTATTATTCACCTTAATTAGTAATCACATTAATTAATACTCATGTAATTAAGACTAATTAAAGTGAGTACTCATCTAATTAGCATTAATTACACTGATTGATGATACCATTTCAAACAAGAAGCTAGGGGATACCTGAATGGGTCATGAAACCCTACTATAAGGGGGTACCCTTGGGTCCTCAAAGCGTACTATACAGGGTATCCTTGAGAACCCAAGGGTACACCCTTATAGTTGGCCTTCATGACCGATTCAGGTATCCTCTAGCTTCTTGTTTGAGAAGGTATCACTACTCACTTTAATTAGTGCTAATTAGATGAGTACTCACTTTAATTAGTCCTAATTGCATGAGTACTAATTAAGGTGAGTATTAATTAGTTAAGTAATTTTGGTTTACATAAGATTCATACTAAATGGGTTTGGATTGATGGGACGCTGCATATTTGCTATGACTTCTATAACTTTAACTGAGGTCAATGAGTAAAACAGGGATGCGTAAGCGAGCTCCAAATTTGGAGTTTCCGCAGTTAGGAGGTCAATTTTTTTTAACCGTTAATATACGACTGAGAATTGAAATATCACCGATTAAAAAGTTTGAAATCAAGATGATTTTCAAACAAAGAATCGTGAGAAAACAATTTACTGTAAAAGAAAGATTCTAGTTATAATAATAATAATAATGTTTTTTATATACGTCAACTGGCTATTTAGATTTCTTTTTGAAAGTAAAAGTAATTGCTCAGGGTGTGAGTGTATGTAAGACCAACACACCCAAAAGTCGCGCAACAATCTTAAGATTGGATATTAGTTGGTAAGAAAATGTTTCAAAAAAAGTAGTGAAAAATTCAAAAGTCTTGGTTATATTGTAGGGAAGCATTTGAAAGCAATGTGCGTCGATGTTAAAATTCAGAATACAGTTTTTATCGATACAGTAAACCTCCCATAACCATTACATATCATTGGTATTTATTGGCTCACTAGTCAGCACCGTGATCTTGACAAGATTAACTCATATATAGTAGAAGGCACTATCCTAGCAGGTGACTCTAATGCAATAGTGAAGGAATGGAATAGTCTAATAACAGCAGATAGGAGATGTACACATATAAAAAATGAGTTGAAGAGAACAATCTCAATTACATACCAACGGCATCATACACATTAAAACGCTCTCTATGTGATACAGACTTATCATTCTCTAACGCGGCTACTATTTCAAGTGAAACACTACGTTTTGGCACTAGTGATCATTGGCCGGTAATGCTGTCGTGTGCGAATATTTATTTTAACACAAATAGCTCTTTCCTGGTACAAATCAGAAGGCGCTTGAAGCGATATTAGTGCTACTTCAAATATTTTAGGAAGAAGAACATAAGAAAAATAGTATAGATGAGTGATACAAACAGTACACTCGTTTTATCGCTACTATTAAGAACAGAGTGCCTCATTGGAAGGAGAAAGATAAATATAAGCCACCACTCCCTGGGTGTATCATCGAAAGGTTAAATGAAATACGGCAAGTGAGAAATAAATATTATCATTCACGACACAGGAGTTATATGCTAAGAAACAAGGATACTATTACGCACACTAACGAGAGACTCAAGAGTTGATATCGTTAAATACAGAGTTTATCAATGGTAAAATTTTCTATTGAACATTCAAATGAGGCATGATAAGTCCGACAAAGCGTTTTGGACACATTTATCTGGCATTTATAAATCGCGTACACTATCTTTTTATAAGCTATCCGATGGAACTAAAATACTTTCGACGCCGCAAGAAATCACGAATGAATTATATCAGTACTATAGTAAACAATTCAAAATACCCTTGATGGAGTACTCTGGTGTGCACGACATTAAGACAGATAGTGAATATAGCCATATCAATAAAATCGCGTTACTTTTGGCGATTAATCGTGATCTGAAGACAAAAATCGCCAATTAATCGGCGATTCTGCAACAAATTTCAGCAACAAGTACTAATTTACAAAAATAAGTATTTTTTTTCGTTTATTTAAATCGTCTGAATATCTCAATGAACAGTAAGCATAAATTTATAAAAATAGTCTTTTTTTAGTTTATTTCAACATCTCAATAAACGGTAAGTATTATTCAATAAAAATAATTGTGTTCCTTTATTGAGATCATGTGGTCATCATAATGAACGGGTAAGTGTCATTGAATAAGAATATGTTCTTTTCTTTTATTTTGGCCGTTCGATCATCTCAATGAAGCGTGAGTATTATTTTATCCAATTTTTTTCTCATTTAAATTGTCTGAACACTTCAATTCACAGTAAGTATTATTTTATAAAAATGACTATTTTGTTTTATTTAGATCGTCTGATCATCTTAATATACAGTAAGTATTGATTCATAAAAATAAATAGCTTTTTCTTTTATATAGGTCATCGCAAAATTTCAATAAACGATAAGTATTATTCAATAAAGTATTTTTTTATTCTTTTATTGAGGTCATCTGATCATCACAATGAATGGGTGAGTATCATTGTATACTCTTTCGCGGACAAAAAAAATTGCCTTTTTCTATTTCATTTTCGCATCACTTAATGCGTTGTTTTAAAAAAACAAAATATACCACAAGATGCAGCATGAAAAGAACTATAATCTACAAAGTAAACCTTGTTTTAATTTTGTACTTTTTGTTTTCAAAGAAGGCAAAATTCTGTGCGACCAATGTTCGACGCTTCGAGAAAATCATTTTTTTCTATGCGAANCTCACATCCACCTACACCCAACCCCCACACCCACCACACCCATACCCACGCACACCCACACATCCACACCCACACACCCACACACCCACACCCACACCCACACCCACACCCACACCCACACCACACCCACACACCCACACCCACACACCCACACCCACACCCACACCCACACACTCACACCCACACCCACACCCACATCCGCACCCAAATAATACTAATTGTGATCGTTTCGACTAAAATTATTTTTGATCCTATTTAATAATCATATTAAGAGAAGACATCAGTAATTGTGGGCCTAGTGAAAAATATTATTCAGAACCAAAAATGAGCACATTATTTTTGGCATTAAGCTAGACTTCATAAATTTGTTTGAAAATAAATGTATTATACGTGAGACTATTCCTTCCTTTGAGAAGAACTTTTTATTAAGATTTTTTGAATTATACCGCGAGAATCATCAAAACCTTTCACAACACATTTTTGTTTTCTTCTTCTTGATCAGTCGTATACATAATATATGTGCAGACCTATTTGAACATAGTCATGTGACGCAGAAGAACACGACGAAAGAACGAGCAAGATAAAAAAACAAGATAGTTCAAAGAGTGACACTTAGAACGAAATGTCTTTACTATTTTTATGATGTCAAAAATAAATTTGAAATAACATCAGTACCTGAATGAAGTCGAGCAGTCCTCAAAACAGCATAATAGTGTGTACCTTAAAAGATGTTCTATATTGTTCCAAGCCTTTTCCACAAAAGAATTATGCCAGATAGTACCAACACTTTCTTTTGATTTTATCAATGGCTATAAGTATGAATTTTGCCAGATTAAGTTTAGAAATATCGAAAAAAATCACATTGTCGATTTCTCTGGTGGGTATTTCTAATAAAATCTTTCGCTTTGTTATTTCTGGAAAGCACATGAAATTATCAATTCAACTCAAAAGCAAACGTTTCATAATCTATTCCAGCATATATTCGTTATTTTCTTTTCATTCTCTAAGAAACTGCTTATAGCTGGAATTATCTATTTGATTAAATAAATTATCAAGAAAACTGATATACATAATCTGATAATCAGTTTTTGTTGATATCAAACTTAGAAGAAATAATAATGTTAATGCTAAACATTCATTAAATACTCGATGCAATGAAAACTGTACTTTTGTATCATTAGGACAAGCTTGTTGCCTATCTATTCATATTTCAAAAACATTCACAACTAAAATTTTTCAATCTTCAAACTCAATGCGTTGATTATTAACATGATACTTTTCATGAGAACTTGACTTTTATTTGTCTCACTAACTATAGATTTTCTTATTAAATTTGTTTCAAACAGACCTATTAAACAGAAGTATTCTATACTAAGAAGAGTAAGATGACTGATGTTGATAGCTTAATATGAAAATTAAC